AATCGGTTGAGTGAAGTTGGAATGCATAGTCCCTGCACCACTTCATCTGGTGAGTAGAGTTGGAATGCATAGTCCCTGCATCACTTCATCTGGTGAGTAGAGTTGGAATGCATAGTCCCTGCACCACTTCATCTGGTGAGTAGAGTTGGAATGCATAGTCCCTGCACCGTAGTGAGGCCCTCCAATTAAATATCTTACTGTCAATGAGGATAGGACTATAGCCAACTTTCTAACCTCATCTGTATCAATCATATAAACTTCAGATAGTGAATATGACAACCATAATCGCAATGTAATGAATTAGCATTGCCAAGAATCTTTAGAGGACTTAGAATCCGTGTATCTATAGCTCTATATTTCTTTCATTGGACTTTGGCTGCTATTTTCAGTTCCTTAATCCTATATACTATAGTCAATTGGACTCCTTGGACGGGAGGTCAGCGCATCGCAAGGCGGCCACCTGCATACAGAACAAGACAAACACAGAATAAACCCAGACAAACATCCCCATGATCCCAGTGTTTGAGCAGACGAAGACATTACATGCCTTAGACCGCGCGGAACTGCGATCGGCGGACTTAAAATCAGTCCCCACAAATTCGCCCAATCACCCACCGACTGAGACCTGTAATGAGTAGGGCCCGGATTTTTTGAAAATGCATATGCGCATATGCAAATGCATACTTTGAGGGTTTTTGGTCGTTATTGCATATTCTAAACGTGAGAGCATATTTCTGCATATATGTTTGACATTAAGGATAATTTCAATATTCTCTAACAAATTCGGTTTTTCCTGTGTTTTGGACATCCCTTGTCAGTTGCTATTCTCAGCTCTCTGAGTAACGGCACTTTTACCACTTACAATACAAGCAGGTAGCTTGGATATTTCCAAAGGGAAGGGGTGGGATTTTCCTGCATTCCACTGACCATGACGGCAGACAGTAGCATCAGAGGGATGGTTTTGAGAAAAGCCTTTTCAGTTAATATATTACTCTTTTCTTTAATAGTCTGCATCAAAAAAGTGTTGGTGTACTGAAAATGCCTAAAGAAATTGGCAGCAGTAGATATTTAAAAAAATCAATTGGTTTCGGGTGATAGTGACTATTCAACAGACGGTGTCGTCGTGTACTGCTAAGTGTGCGCAAAGGAAGTAAAACGTGAAAAGAAATTTCAACTTGAAGAACACTCAAGAACGACTGCACATATTGCGGCAAAGAAGGGGAAGAAGAACAGCACACCACAACAGCTACTTCTTACACAGGTCAAACCCAAATCCTCTGTTAATCCATTTTAGCCGATCTTTGTAAGGCTTTAGTATGCAGCAACATTCCATGGAATAAATTATAGCAATCCAGTTCTGCAATAATTTCTGGATACTTCAAAAAATCCCAGACGAATCAACTCTTAGAAAAAAATCTACCTTTGCTGTATGCATCTACTCTGGAGTCAATCCGTTCTGACATCGGAGGGAACTGTGTCTGGATTTATGTGGCCGAAACATAAAAAATTTCGTAGTTGGTAAGCTACATCCAGACGAACCCGGCAAACCTCATCTTCTTGCTTGCAAAGTACTAGAGGAAACCAACCATAGCACAATAGCAAGATTTGTAAATGATCCTCTGCAATTACTATGGCCATCTGAAATTGAGAATAATTGTTGTAAGTTGCTTGTATTACTCCCAGATGCAGCTTCCTATATGTTGAAAACAGCAAAGTCCTTACAAGTATTTTATCCACATCTTAGACACGTAACCTGTTTAGCGCAAGGATTACACCGTATTACAGAAAATATATGCGCACATTTTCCAGCTGTTAACGATTTAATTGTAAGTGGGAAAAAACTGTCTCTGAAAGCACCAGCTGTGTCCAGTTCTACAAAGATTGCCTACCTCAGGTTCCTCTGCCACCTGAACCTGCCCTAATTAGGTGGGGGAAATGGATATCCGCAGTTTCATTTTATCAGGAGAATTTCAATCCAGTAAAAGAAGTGGTTACAAAACTTGAAGATGAGTATGCATGTGTCCATGAGGCAAAAGTGGTGTTTGGAAGTGACACTGTTTATCAAGATGTGAATTTTATCCATGCACATTTTTCTACAGTTTCAAAAGCCACTGAGAGCTTAGATTCTGTGGTGCACCCCTTCACGACTCACTTCAACTCGTTCAGAAAGCAACTTGTTCACTGAATTCCGCTCCAGGCGAAATTGGAGAGAAGATTAAATGCAAGTTAGAAAAGGCGTTGAAATCGAACCCAGGACTAAGAAAGATTCAGTCAGTTAGACAGTACTTGAGTGTAATTAGGCTATCTTTGCCAGATGAATGTTCCGAACCTTCGGCGCCAGTGTATAAATACCGTCCCATCACGTCAGTTGATGTAGAAAAATCATTCTGAGCCTATAAACTCATTTTGGCGGAAAATAGACGAAGTTTGTCTCCAGAAAACATCGAAAGACTTCAAGTTGCCTATTCTGATGCTACTTTCTGCAGTGAATGATACATGTAAATAGGTGAGTCTGAATAAAGTGACCCGTTTCTTAAGTGCATATTGTTTATTTTTGGTGCATATTTCCCCGCTCTTTAGCGCATATTTAAGTGTTTTTAGCGCACAAAGATCCGGGCCCTGGTAATGAGTCATATTTTTAGCTTCCAACAAAATGTAAACAAAATGTAATTGACAGACCGTATCGTGTACACGTATGAATAAAACACTAAATACATTTTACACTGTGGTCGTCTAGGGTGAACACTGTGCAGTGCTGTAAATATTTCTAGCGTTTGGAACCTACCGTTTCCATTATCACTGTATAAGGTGGAGACAGCAGACTTCGAGGAACCCTTGGTAAAGCCCCATGATACTATGTGGTTCAGTAAACCAGAAGACCTCAATCAAAATTTTCATGGCCGTGAATGTTCCAAATATCGCACATTAAATAACTTTTTTCTCCTGTTCTTTATCTGACATTAACTTTGAAATTACTCATGTAAATATCAACTACACAAGAAATTGTACACGCCTACTGCAAAATTGTTAGAGTGTATTGAATGATAGAGCTAAGTTGTATTTCTGGAACCATGTTTCCAATAAAGAGCTATGGGTTATAATGCCGTGCAGTTCCTTGAAAATCAACATACGTTTCGGAGGAAAATACCACCTCTCTCTTCAGGGCCGATGAGTAATCCAAGCAAGAAACCAATACGAAGCATTTAGTAAGCAGTTTGAAAGTCCTGTTCATTCTTCGACCCTGATGTACCTCCGAAATGCTGGTTGACTTTTAAGTGGCTACACACCCCACAAAATAGAACTCTTCATAACCACAGCTGTGAGGACCTCAAATTCTATATGCTTTCAATAATTTTTTAGTTATAATTTTCAGAGACAATTTGCGAATTTAACACACGTATCAGTAGAAGCAGACCCAGATATACCCCTGGATAAAACCCCTGATGTTCTTATTACAGACACTCATCCCCCAACAATGCCTTATAAAGAGAAGGCAAACCTGATAAATTTCTACTCATTTCAGGTGTCGGCAATCATAGCCCATTTTTCGAGTTCATTATTGGAGCTTTGATGTGGGCCCTTCTGAGAGAGACAAAGTGGAAGTAGGACACACGTGATGGATGGACAACCTTGATCGATTGAAGAAACGCCACTCTACATAACAGTTGCAGCTACGACTGCAGGAAACGAAATTCCACCATGCAACAACATTCACGCGATTTGCAGACACGCTCCTTTATCGACCGAAGACATTGCATGACGTCGCTTGCGACGTCATGGGATATTCCTTACGACATTTAAACGAGAGGCTTTACAGAAAACAACTGAAGTACTTGCAGAAAATTTTATTTAAATTCAAAGTCTGGATTCTAATTTAATTTTTAAAGATATAAGTTTTACTTATAGGAATTAAATTAAATGCCATAAACATTCTTAACTGCAGTAGAATCATAATTTAAAATTAATTTGTATTTTATAATCAATATAAATGCCTCACTCTTGCGTCTGTATGGAACACCATAACAACTGAGTACTACAGGAACAAGAACAACTGAACTACATGCAGTAACTATTAGACTATCTTGTTGGAATACCTAGAATTCTACCAGAATAAGACTAGAAAGAAATTATATGTTACACTCACAATAAAATACGGAATACACATTTGCTGGCTAAATCCCTGAAGAGTAGACCTGGGAATGGTATGGTGATTGTTAAATTTTTACCCAGGTTACGTCTGTCCGTGTGTTCACTTCATGCGAGGGTGACTAACCACACGATATTCTTAAAGTAGAAGGGTTATGGGACATCTAAAAACTTAAGATTAAAACATATAGAACTGTAATTTCCCTTTTGCTTTGTATGCGAAATTATCCTCTCATTCTAAGGGAAGACGATACATTCAGAGTGCCCAAGATAAAGATGCTGAAGATGATATTTGAATCTACCCTCCTCGGTAGTTGATGTAACTGAGTGATCAGCCTCAGGCCCCGTCTTATTTACTCAGGAAAAGAATCTTATACCCGCGGATAAGAAGCAAAATCTGTCACATATTTGGTCTGGATACTGTAAGGGAAGCATTGATTCCTGTCCGGGCAGTTATTAGAGCTCTGGCCGCCCAGACCGTAGTCACTCACCCAATTCGCGCAACTACAAAGACTCACTGGGAATACTGGTTTAGTTCTAATTAGCTACCTACCTACCTACCTACTGCGCCATAGCTCAAGGGGTTAGTTGCTGGCTTCCCACTGCTGCGGCCTGGGTTCGATCCCGGGTCTGGTCAAGTGGGATTTGTGGTGGACAAAGTGGCGCTGGGGTAGGTTTTCTCCGAGAACTTCGGTTTCCCCTGTCAATCTTCATTCCACCAATTGCTCCACAATCACCCTCACCTATCATCTGGGGCTGGTACAATAGGCCAGAAGTGGCCGCAGAACAAGGGACTTAGTCCCACCCCACTAGCAATAAAAAAATACTTACGTACCACTCGGCGCTGAAGCCCTGGGTGAGCCTTGGCCTCCTCTACAACCAGTCTCCACTGCTCCACTTAATCATCTTCTCTATCCATCCTTTCACCTCCATTTTCTTCAGATCGTTCTCAACATCGTGGGTTATTTTTAATTGAGCTGTTCTAAGTTCAACGAGAATGAAAACAGAATGAAGCTACGACTTGCGCTGTTGCGTCACATCTGTTCTGGAAGGAAGTTATACTTGCGGTCTTCTTGCACTCGATTTGTAGTCTAAACCTCCTTATAAATGTCATTATGTAGTCCCACTACATTCCGTTTACATGCTCAACAAAAATAAACCTTCCACTCACGAGATGGGGCAATGACACATTTGACAACACAATCCTTAGTTTAGAAAGCAAATGTTCGACAAATTAAGTTTAGTATCCTTTTGCACCTAACACTGCATTATAAATCGATGCAGCAATTGTATTGGCACGACAAATAAATGTTTATAAGTTTCAACATGCAAGACATGCCTAGGCCTGTCCACAACAGCTGAAGTAATTGCAGAACTGTAGTCCAGTAAGTTTATTTCGAATTAATTTCATAAGACGCAAGAACCGAAAATTTCAATTATGGTATTAAGGTATGAATTTCACGTATGGTGCTGCCCCTTCACAAATCAGCTGTGGAACAGAGCTTTGAGAGAAACGTCAGTAATCATATAAATATGAAGAAAGCAGTCTTCTGGGATTTGGCACCGTGTATAAGTGGTGTTAACCGACGTTTCGGAGGAACGTATCGCCTCCATCTTCAGGGTAGAAGAAAAAGTATAAGAAATCTGCAAGCGACAAGACCGTGAGAACGGTAAAAAGCAGTCTGCTTTTACCGTTCTCACGGTCTTGTCGCTTGCAGATTTCTTATACTTTTTCTTCTACCCTGAAGATGGAGGCGATACGTTCCTCCGAAACGTCGGTTAACACCACTTATACACGGTGCCAAATCCCAGAAGACTGCTTTCTTCATAGTCACCGCCGTGAAAGCCTCAAATCTTACATCATATAAATATATTTTAAACGACAAGAGCCTGCACAAAATTAAAGATATAAAAACACATAACGTTCTTATTTACCTGTTCCACAGAAATCCAGGAACTGAAACACGAAAAAAAGGAGTTATATTTTCTGGAATATAACGCCGTGTAGTCTGTTCAAATCCAGGAGGCGTATTGGAGGAAAATATCGCCTCTATCTTCAGTAAGAAAACTTGTTACCTGCTTCATGCTGGTTTGTTACTTGGCTTATTCCTGGGCACTGAAAATGAAGGTGACAAGATTCTCCGAAACGCCGGTTGGCTTTCAACGGAATGCAAGACCTTATACGGTAGAACTCTTCATAACCACTGCTGTTGTGAGAACTTCGAATTCTGCATGAATTTTAAATATTTGAAAACTAGGCCCTATGTTTTATTCCATAATTAGTTTTCTCTTTACTTCGAATGATTAAGCGAAAGATGGAGTGGTTTAACGAAACATTTTAGGAGATTCATTTAATTTATCACAAACGTCATGGATGTTGAATATTCCACCGTTATGGACATGCATGCTAATGAAAATTGTTCCTCCTTCTCCTCGACATTTATCCTTACACTCAGACATATCCTCATTAGTCCTATCAACTGTGTATTATAAAAGGTAAGAAGGTAAAACCGTCCCTGTAACGGACCGTGGAGGCCCATAGGATTGTGAGATATCGAGGTTCCCAAATTTTATAGACAATCGACTGGCAGATCGCGGTGAGGTTGTCAGCCTTACGCGCCGGCCGCCCTTTACCCACAGAAAGATTTCTAGTACCCATTTCTGTTAAAGCCTGACTCGACCCGAGGACCATAGTGCGGCTGGAAGGATTAGGTAAATTGAAAATCCAGTGACCTCATTGGGGATCGAAATTGCGATTTTCAGTCTTGTAGTACAGTGCCTTAACCAACTACGCTACCGTGTGCCAATTTCCGTGCATTATACAAAGATTTTCAATCTTCTCCATTAATAACACTCTAAACATGTACTTTCTTCTCATAACTACGGCAAAAGCCACGGGACATGCGTTGCACATTTCATATGAATCAGTTGTGCACGCCATATGAATAACTCTTTAACGTGCTTCAAAGCGAGACGGCGGCTTTACCTAGATGGAATATGTAAGATATCGATTAATCACTTAAGGCCTAATTTATAATGTTCAGAACACGCTAACAATAGGCAAACCATCAGAATAGTGCACTTACTCATAGTTAAAACATTAAATATTTTCGACTGGAAAGAACATGAGGTAATTCTTATTTCATAGCCCAAAGTGTATATCTGAACCGTTAAAAGAAACGACAATAAATTATTATGAATATGATGCTCTCCCTTATTCATGTCCTACAACAAAAGTGACTGAACAGTCCGCTGTTAGGCGTTACAGACTTTCATTTAAATTCAAATTTTCATGACATCAATCAATTTCACATAAAGCGAAACCTGGAAATCATTCCAAGAAAGCTTTCTGACGCATAATTTCCTTCAAACCAGCCGAGAGTGGTCAGCAAGTCAGCAAGTCCGAGACCGTCTAAGGATGGGACGACCAGGTTTCGATCCCCAGTAGGCGCAGAGAAATCTTCCTTCATCTCCCCGTTAAGGGCGTCTCTAGGTCCCACCCAGCCTCCTATTTAAAGCTAACCATGGGAAGTTGTCAACGAAGGTTTGAAAGAAGCGGCCATAGCATAATCAATGAACTATATGCCAGTATTTGCACGGAGTGACTGAACGAAATCACGAAAAGCGCCAATCAGGACTGCCGATGTATCGGCGTTCAAGTCAAGAACGCTGCGGCTAATTCAACCTGTTCAGCACTGCCACGACCAAAGCGACCCTATAGACAATGTGCAATAATGTATCCGTTTAAAAATGAAATAATTTGTCTCCTTTCTAATTCTGTACCGGTTCGTAACATTCTCTTGTGTACTACATATGTTTAGCTTGTTCTCCATTTATCCGCCAATTATGGTGGAGGTTGAATGCAGTTTTAAACAAAATGATGAATCGAATCCTTAATAATGCAATTGTGTTCATGTCTTTGATTTTAAGTTCATAAATTTAACTTCGTTTCACAAGCAGCTTGTAAGCTATTGTATGCTTTCCATTGTTTCCCTTCACTGACAGTGAGAAGGGGTCGTGAAGGAGCCGCCTAGTACGGTCCGAAGTGTTCTTATTGGAGCACCAAGCACTCGAAGGGAGACACAACCATAAGTTCAGGGTATAACCAATTACAGGATCAATCACTGAAGTGGGTAGACCTTCAGCAAGGCGCTATTGTACAACATAAAACGCTGTTTTTATCTAATAACGTGCAGCAAATCTCGAGGCGAGACACAAAGCAGGTAGATGCAGTAGCCAATTAATCATGCTTTCCTTTTAAATTTTCCGTTCTGTTTTATTAGTTTTCACAGGAAATTTTCCCAGTTATGGAATCTATCTATGTATCTATCTATCTATCTATCTATCTATCTATCTATCTATCTATCTATCTATCTATCTATCTATCTATCTATCTATCTATCCATCTACTTACCTACCTATCTATCTATCTATCTATCTATCTATATATCCATCCATCTACTTACTTACCTACCTTCCTACCTATCTATCTATTTATCTATGGCTTTACAGCCCTCTGTTGGACCTTGACCACTTTTTCAGTTTCTTAATCCTATAAACAGTAGGTAGGACTCCTTGGACGGGGGATCAGTCTGTCGCAAGACAGCTACCTGCACATAGAACAACAGACACAGAATAAACGCACACACAGACATCCATGCCTCGAGTGGGATTCAAACTCATTATCCCAGCGTTTGAGCGAGCGACGACAGTTAATGCCTTAGGCCGCGCGGCCACTGCGATCGGCGAAAGAATTCTTCACCGAATATAATTAGAGTGATCAAATCAGAGAGAATGAAATGAGCACGTAGCACGTATGGGAAAAACGAGAATTGAGTAGTCGCTTTTAGTCGGAGAACCTGAAAGGAAAAGACAACTTTGGAGAAAGCGTGGGAGGTAGGATATTATTAAAATAAGGTTTTAAAGAAATCGATTTTGAAGATGTGAACTAGATTCAAGGAGTTCAGGATAAAGTCCCATGGTAGGCTCTTGTGAACACGGTAATGAATCTTAGCGTTCTTGAGGAGCTGAGCAACTATTAACTTCAAAAGAGGGACTCTTCCCCATGAAGTAAATTAATGCTGGATGTCCGGATGAAAGTAAAAAAAAAAAATCATATCTCGGAAATTAATTGTCTTACACGTATCCGGTTTATGTCATCGGAAAGGAAACTCTGAAAGTATATTTTTTTCATACGCGGCTTACGCGCATAGGCCGCCACATTTCTGCAACCATGTGAGGAATCACCTGGACAGAGAGATGGCTGGGATATGAATTGACAGAGGTGGACCAATTGCTTGGCCCCTAGGTCGCCAGATTTAGGCACAGTTGATTTTTTCTTGTGGGGTTATGTGAAGAACGTCTACCAGGTTAAGATCAACGACCTGCAACATTTGAAAGCCCGTATAAGGGAAACTGTGGCTACGGTAACACCAAACATGCTTCAAGCAACGTGGAATGAGATCGAATATGTTCTGGATATTTGTCGTGCCACAATTGGCAGTCCACATTAAAATTTATTGATAAAGTTATTCACTTAAAAAAGCTTTGATAGTATCGTTTTGTAATGGCGTAATTCATAAATGTGT